GGGGGCCGCGGGAGGAAGGCCACTAGAAGACCAGCAGCAGCAGGTGGCGATTGGCTGGGGTGTGGGGGAGGTCGGAGCCCCATGAGTGCCCATCGAAGGCGCTACGCCCTGGGAGGCGGCATCAACGGAGACCCCCACCACTGAAGTTACATTCAAAGTCGTGGCAGGCGAGGTTAGGGGGCCTCCCGTCACCACCCGAGGCACCTCCCGGGGCCCTTTCGTGAGCCCGTGGCCAGTGAGAACGGCCACTCGGGCTAGAGCAGCCCGAGAGCGCCTGATCGAGCGGAGGCGGGCACATACCTATAATGAGGTCTTGGTGTCACTCTACCTTCTATTGTCGCTGGGCTCTCTCTGTCCCTGTCACTGCACCCTTACTGGCACTGGAGCTTCTATATGACACGGTAGTGTGCCCCAATGAGACCTCCTCCTCCCCTACAGCTTCAGCTTGGTCTACCAGTTTAAATAACGACAGGTAAGCAGCACACTATCACTTGCATCTCAGGCAGCCAAACTGTCACACAGCCTTTCTTTCCTTTCCTGCAGGAGCTTCTTCTCTAGCAGTTGCCAGAGAACTCTTCCGCCAGTCCCAGCCCTAGGGCTTAGATGTGCCCAGGGCCTGCTTCCTTCTGGTCAGCTGACCAGGGACAAGTGTTAGGGATATATGTTGTAGGATATGGCAGACAAGGTTCTTTGGGTCAATCTGATATCTTTTAGTAGGCCAACTTAATAGTTGGAGAAATATATCTTAGCAAGCTTTTGGGTTGAAAGCACTTTGTCAGGCTGAGGAAGCACCTGCAGTTGGTGTGTGTGCTCTTCCTGCATGAAAGGGATAGTAAAGAAGCCAGAGGCTGGCATGCAATGTAGGCAAGAAAGCCAGTTAGTGAAAATGAAAATGGTGGCATCAGGGGGTGAGGGACAGGCTGGGATGGTGCAGGGGAAGGGGGATGTAGCAGCACAGGTAGAAGTGGAGAGGTACCTGGTGAGGTCTTATTTCTCGAATTGCCTTGCTTGCTGTTTGATGGAGACATGGGACAGTGATCTGGGATGTGTGGAGTGGGCTGTGGTTCATGTGGCTATGGGGTCACCATATTGAGCCTGCTGGGGATAAAACTCTGGGGGTGGGGGAAGCAGAACTTGAAAATCTTTTTCACCCGCATTCACTACAGAGGGTGGTGTCTAGCTTTAGGAACAAAAAATAAATGCCAGGGGGTATATTATACTAATATCTTAAAGGCAAACGTGAAGATACTTACTAGTCTACAGTGTAGTGTTGTTGAAAGTGCTCAGGCTGTCAAGGATGGAAATCTTGATGGTGGTGGAGCTCTAGGGCCTGGTTAACCAGATAAGTCTCAGTGTAGTCTGTCAGAATGCTGGCTTCTGGCTTTCAGGTGCAGTTTTGTCTACGTGTACTGTCAGTCCTGTCTTCCTCCTGTGTTACTGGTGTCAGAGGGAACATACAGATCAGTGCTGTGTCCCAGGTTGTCATAATATGTCCAAGTGGTTTACATGTGGTGTTAGAGGTCTAAATGTTGTCTTTTGCTTTCTGGTAAGTCATCTCCATTTCTTTGTTAGATGAGGCTGCATTGCATCCTGGTTGTGACTCCATTCAGTCTCCCATTAATAATAGCTTAACAAAAATCTATTTTAATGTTTGAATTCCATGGCTGCTTGAACTTTCACCTCTCCTAAAGGGATGAGGAGAGATCCAGAACCTCTGCATGGCTTCAGTTGGGTGGACAATGAGGCATGGTTAAAAAATATCTGAGGTTCCCTCCTGGTCCCCGGGTCAAACGGTCCATTTAACTAGTATGTTTAGGGCACTTTGGTTTTTCTACCCAGTAGCACCAAGGTGGTGATATCATTTGCATCACATCCAACGGCCCTTTTGACTCCCCAGCTAGAGTGAGATGAATGGGGACAGCTTACATTGAGTCCAGAGTTGCTCTTGAACTTACAGTTCTGGAACCATAGTAAGATGCCTTAACTGTGCCCCAGCAAAGCATGATGGTACAAGACAGGAATACGGCAATAGTTGTGTGAACTCCATTGGTATAGAAGCACAAATTGATCAAATCTGACTGCATGCCAGCTTCTAAATTGGGAAATGACATCTGGTCAACTTGACTTCTGAGCAGGAAAATGATAATTGGTCTGGCAGAATGCAGTTATATGAATACGTAGTAATTTACTGAGAGGTGAAAGTATTGCTACATCCAACAGGATTATAAACACTATAGTACTTTACCATTTACTTCATACTAGGGCAGAATGTAGGGCAGAGTGACACCCTACAGACTAACTGGTTCAGAGAAGTATGAATTGTTGCCACCAACAAACGGCTTCATCAGATGTTAAGAGAATTCATGCTAAGGAATTACATTGCATGGACTGGGGTCTTTTCAGCTTGTAGTAACTTGATTTAGTCTGAAGTAAACAACTTTGTAGATGAGGACTAAAAGCTGGTTTAACCAGAATAAATGTGTCCCCACAATTTTTTACTCTGGTTTAACTAAATTGACTTAAAACAGCACCCTGGCTAAGTACAGACAGTCAAAAAAACCCACAAAACCCAAAACCTGAGGCTGAATTGATTCACTCTTTGCAGGTTAGTCTAAACTGTGTAGATTGAACCAATAAGCAAGTGAACAGACATTCACTTTTGATTTCATACCTGCAGTGGCCTAGGCCAGAAGCTTGGGGCGGGGGGAGTGGAGGGTGGCGGTGCTAGAGCATGCCTCCCTGCTTGACTGGAGCAAACAGCTTGGGCCCATCCACCCTGTAAGGGGACTGTGAGCTAACTTGAATATGGAGGGGATCTGGGACAGAAGTTGAATAAACTGATTTAACCTAAATCAGTTAAGTCTGGTACTATATCTATCCAGGTTTATTTTAAACTGCTTTTGGCCAGTTTATGTGCATTGAACTTCTGTTGCGTTACAAATTTGAACCAGTTTCTGATCACTTATACCAATTTATGTAACTTCTGCCCCTAGCCTCTAAGTTTAAACCACTGCAAACTGTGTGCATGGATGAGCTCCTTTAAAAAAAAGAAGAAAAAAAAAAAAGGACTTTCGGGTAGTACACCTTACTGTGAGTTCTCTGTTACTTTTAATAGTTTTTCCAAAAAAAGTGTTCCTCTTTCTCAAAATATTGTTTCTGTTCTGCTTCATAAAAGACTTACAAAAGCAGGGAAACTGAAATGACATGTGCATAAAATAGCAAATACATATATGCATAAAGTAAATAAAGTGATAAATAGATTCCCTCTTTTCATTCACATATAGTAACTTTAGCTATCACTTGTATCAATATTAGGTACAGTCAGATGTGTGACTTAAATTGATGCTGTCTTTGAAACAGGAGAAATAGCTTTCTGTATCCCCAAGAAGTAAAGCCTAAGGATTTGCTTTAAGAGAACTGTATACTTAAATAGCTTGTTAGGTAGTATTATAATATGCCTCTTTACTCTTTAAATACTTTATGTAATTAAAATATGCAGTCCACCCTCCCATTCTTTAATCTACATATAATTTTGAACACTTTATCAAGAAGTCCATGCTCTTGGAGATTTAATCTCAGACTTACCTTGGTCTTTTTCCCAGTTCTTCTGTGGGGTGGTTGTGTGCGCTTCATCCTCTTTGCCTCAGTTTTCCCACTTGTAAAATAGGAATATGGATACTTATAAGTCTTCATAACATGGGTTGAAATATAATACTGTGCTCTTATATTGTGCTTTGTACAGTATATCCTCTTGTCATGGAAAGTATGCACTAATTTAAATAATCATCTCATTTGGGTATTTTTATGCAAAAAAAGCATATATAATTGTTCAGTTCTCAGGCAGTTTACAAAGCAGCGTGTGCTAATTTACTTCAAGCCTGCTTTTTCTTTGTTTTTTCTACTTGTTAGAACCTTTCACGTTCTGTGATTTTGATTTGTAATTTGAAGCACTAATTGCTCAAGTGCTGTGAAATATAGCTGTTTTACTCTTTATCACTCTTCTTACTAAACAGCCACTGAATGTTGTTATTTGTGTATTTTAAACAGGTGAAAGAAACTGGACAAGTTGCCATTTCAGGAGCATATGTGGATCTAATATCAGCCTTTGATAAACCTTCAACTCAGAAAGCCATGAAGGTAAGGAAGAAGAGACTTGGATAGATCAACTTGAAGGCATCATAACTGTACTTTACCACTGAAAGAATATTAAAGAAGAATATATTAAGTGATTCAGTGATATGAAGATAAGTTGTTTAACTTTTATGGGTTCAAGGATCTACTTGGGACAGTGTTTGAAGTACATGACTCAAGTGAGCGTCACTATATGTATTGTACAAAATAAGATACTAAGCAAGCATAGAGCAGGGCAGTAGGTGTGCAAGTCACAGCTAGTGAGCATCTGTGCAGCTGAGATTTAAATTTGGTGGTCCTGCCAGCAATAGTGCCTGTAATATAGTTTCTTTTGTCTGGGATAAAGACTTCAGAAGAAATATGCTGTAAGCTTAGAAGAAATGGGTTGGGATGAATGGGCAAAAGTGAGGGAAGAATTAATTGAGGGACAAAACAGAGTGAGAAGAAAGACTACTATAACTAGGCAAAAAAAAGTCTTAACCTCAAAGAAAAAAGGTTTGGATCCCCTTAAGTAAGTAACTTACTGAGGGGTTTGTTCCCCCCCCCCTTAAGGGGGGGTGGATCTCAGGTACATCTGCCTAAGGTGAGGGGTTTGCTTCTTGGTGTCTAAAGGGTATGCAGGAGGCAAGTGGTCTGTGTGGAGGGGACTGGAGGGGTGGTAAGCAGGATCTGTAGGGGGTTGGTGGGGTGTGGGAGGGTTTGGTGGGATCAGTGGGGCTTGGGAGAATGGGGGGGGGAATCTCCCCCATTCATTGGGACCAGGGGCTATTTTGGCCTGCCAGGAAACCTACCCCCCACATTTCACCTGCCCTGTCCCCCATCCCAACTTAGTTTTACAGTTCCTGGTACCAGTGAACACTGGTAAAACTGGCACTGGGAGTGGCTTGAGAGAAGGGAGCTGGCTGGTCTATGAGGGTGGGAGGGTGCTGCCAAATAGCCTGGTGTGGGGGGC